TCTTTGACCGGCCTGATCGATATAGACTGACCATGATATTGATCGCTGGTGAGCTCCTGTGATCTCTGCTCACTTTTCAGCCGTCGCGAGTCAGCGTACTGTCTGACGTGCTCATCGTCGACTGACGAATGTTCCTGCCCGCCTGAGTTGATCTCAGCCTCGTGGGCGCGGCGGTGATGTGGTTCCTGGCCGGCTTCTCCCCTTTTTAACTTCGAAGCTGGTTCTATTCCACATTAGAGTTTATTTTACTTTCCTGCTGGCCTTGTTCGAACTGACTGGAGCCTTGTGTGCAACACCCGATAGGCGAAATGGAGATCGATGGTTTTGCTGAGTGTGCCAGTCGAAGACCAACTTTACAGCAGCAATATAGCCATTTTGTCATTGGCTCGGGCAAGGAACCTTGCTTTGTCAAAGGCGAAGACGTGTTTCTTCTGCTGTGCGTGGCCATAGACAGCTTATCCTTGCAGTCGATTGCCTGGCTTCACAATTCTCCTCTTCCTCCACTGAACCGGGCCTAAATTTAGCAGCGGCAAGGGTCTTCTATACTAGCTTCAGCCGCTGCGATAACCACACATGGCCTGGCATGTCCAGTGAAGGTTGGTCGGTTTCAAATATACAAGACTAATATATGCTGTCAAGCTGTGTTATAACGCTTCTACAGATGATAGGCTTGGGCGATAAATTCTTCTTATTGCAAGATACAAGGAAGCTGGAAAAAGTACTGAATGAACTCTCTCACCTGCAGTGAACAGTGATAGGTCCGTCTTGTCCGAACTGGGCCTGCGTTTTGTGAACCTGGGCTATGAGCTCGATGAGGGCTTCAGCTGTCCTCGAGGGGGAACTGGTCTCGCGCCAGTCAGAAAACTGGAACTGTCGCAGGGTGCGCGACTGACCGTCACGGCTGTCAGTCATGCGGAATTCACGCAGAACGAAACTAGGCATGTTGTACTCCACCATTGGCTCCACCAGGAAGTTCTGATACCGTTCCGAATGCTCAGCTGGCCAGTACTGGTAGGAGAGTTGGCGTCCGGCCTCGGACAACTGGCTGAGCATGACGATGATGGGTGAGTTGTGTTCCCACACCATGCGCCAGAAGTC